GCACCACCTCCGGCCATGTTCTGTTGTGATCCAGTTTGATTGGTTGCTTTTCAGAAGTAGACCCATGGGATGCTGTCTTCTTTGTCTGTTTCAGTTCAGAAGCTCTGCTGAGACTCATACACTTGTATTTGAAATGCAGCCAGGGTAGCCTCCAGTCTCACAGCAATCCATCGGCCACCACAGCACAAGCACTGGCAAGGTGGTGGTGGATCCTTCCCATAGAGCCTGACTACATCTCTGTGACTGACATGGCCCCTGGCTTTGCTCACTGCAACCTGGAGAGACACCACTAGTCAGTCTTTCATGTGGAGGAAGACACTTCAGTCTCTGCTGATCTTAACTGCTTCTCTGGATCTTGTGCTGGGCAGAGGTCTAACGGGAAAGTCCAGAATCCTCTAGATCAGGACCCTTCCGATTTTGTTTCCCACATACTCTCTTGAGCAGCAATGGAAAACTCCCGGGGAAGTCAAAACCCTTTTCACTCTAAAGCAAAGACTTGGTCTTTAGATGCTGTCCTTCCTGATGGGAACTCCAGGCCCAATCCCGCAGGAACTACCTATTGTCCTACTCCCCATCTAGAGCAGTGCCTGTTGATACCTAGTCTTTGTTCCCAACCTGTGACTCTGACTGTAGCTTTGGTGGTGGAAGCTGGGTGAGGGGTCTTTAAGGCCAGATCATTTTCCAACATGTATTTCCTTTCCCACGAGCTCCAGCTGCAGAAGCAAGTATGAATATCCATGATGAAGCGGGTAGGACAGTTCCCTATTTTTCTCAACAGAATGTATTTGCTTGAATAGTCTTCAAGATGGCCATTTCCAACAGGGTCAGCTGTAGGCCGTCCTGGAGAGAGTGGATGGGATCACGTGAGTGAATGTTCCAAGCTCACCCTTGAGATTGGTTCCCCCAGAATGGGCAGGTGGATGCCATGTGGTCCCAAAGGTGTTCTGTCATCTGAGTGCTTTCTGTTTCAAAGTTCAAGGAACAAGGAGTCACTGTGGAAAGTGACTACCTTTCCATCAAGATGGTTCTCCAGGTGGGCCTTGGGTCCCTCACTTGTACTTAGGTCACTCAAGGCCTTCCATGGGTGACTAACCAGGTCCTTGCTCAGGGTCAGCATGGTTCTACATGTGGCAAACTTGACAAAGCCTATTGTTTCCTGATGATCTCAGATGTGGCCTCAAGAAAAGGACAAACCCACTGCCTTTGAGTCAGTTCTGACTCAGAAGGACCTAATAAGGGCAGAGTAGACCTGCCCCTGCAGATTTCCATGAATGAACATCTTTTCAGAAGCACAAAATCTCCTCTTGCTCCCATGGAGCAGCTCATGGTTTTGAACTGCTGATGGTGCAGGTAGAAGCCCAACTCATTAATGACTACACCAGCAGGGTATAAAAGGATAGGGGTGTTGAGTAACAGTAGGACTTGATCAGGCATTGGTGATAGACCAACCTCTGTCCCAAATTGGAGCCTTTCAGTTCTTCTCTGTGTCACCTTTAGACAAATTACCCAAATGATGTGGGTCCTTTTGGTCATCTGCAGGATGGAGAGCTTTCTACACGATGCTGTACAAATGTAGACATGGACTAGCCCTAAGTGCGGGCATCTAACTTCTGCCTGCTGCACTTCTCAGTCAGGTACCCAGACAGCAAAGGGCCCGCTTCTTTGTTCCTTTTTGCAGCCAATCTGTCCCAATGTCTGTTCCCCGCTGCTGCCAGAGTTCGTTGCAATGTATTGAGGACAGAAAGAGCAGAATAAAAAACATGTTTTCATTACATTTTAAAAGAGAGCTGTGAGCAGGGCCAGGAAAGACCTTTTAAAACCACTGTCATTGGACCGGGGTTGAGATCTGAATGTGTGTGTGCAGGAAAAACTCCCGTTGACCAGCAGTTTTTCCTTGTGGCCAACCTGGCACCAGGTGCCCTGGATAGTGAGTCTTCAAAAGCAGAGGGTCACAGTCAACTCCAGGTTATCGGTGGTGACGCCGAAAAACCAATTCCAGGCAGCGGGCAAGCTAAGCAATTCTATGAGCTCTGGAATGCATTTTATGTGTGTATGTACTCCCCCCACCCCCACCCTTTTCTTCTTCTTGGCAGGAGACTTACCTTCCTAATTATGTTTCCTTTAGGCTATTATTAAAATAAGTCTGCATTCCCCAAACAGAAACCACTGACAACCAGTGACAGAAGTAGGGTCTACCTGGGATTAGGCATATGAAGACAGGAATAAGTAACTCTGTGTGTGTGTGTGTGTGTGTGTGTGTAGAGCGAGAGCCCAAACCAAACCAAACTCATTGCCATTGCCATCAAGTGGATTCCTTGATGGCGTAGTGGTTACATATGGGCGTGCTAACCTCAGTATCAGCAGTTTGAAACCACCAGCCGCTCCATGGGAGAAAGAGGCTTTCTACTCCCATAAAAAGCTACCATTTGGAAACAGACATGGGCAGCTCCACCCTGCCCTATAGGGTCGCTATGAAGATGGCAAGGAGGTTGTTGTTAAGTCTTCCCCCCCAAGGACCAGAGCTGAAGAACCTTTAGAAAACCATCTTCGGTTATGATCACACAGATCTTTGTATCTCTCATCTTTCATCAGCTTTCACCTGGAGGGACTGATGCAGGAAGGCTTGTTCTCTTTACAGTCACCTTGTTTCTTTCATCAGACCACCTAAGCCTTACAGAAGAGTTAAGGCAGAGGAAAACGTGCCTGCACACTCCTATGTGGACACATGCTGCGAAGCGAGTTTCTGTAGGCGGCACAGTTACGAGTTTCTCAAAACACCATTCCATAAGAATGCCATGATCCATCAAAAGGAAACAGGCAAAAATGTTTGCATATGCAAACGAATCCCCTGTCTTTGGACAGCTACACCTTGAAGTGCCCCAAGGAGAGCAAGCGACACATTTTCCTAATTCTCTCCTCTCCATTCTGTGGGGATATTTGACACACTGGAGCCTGAGACAGCATATGTATGATATTAATGAATTCCAGGTCAGAACAGCTCTGGGAACATTAACATGGGACCTGATGTGTTGGGGTGGAGGGCAGTCTCCCCAATGATGTTGGCCAATCTCTCGCTGGTAATGAGATACACACAAACTACATAGAACGGTCCTCCCAAATTCTTGCCATCCGGTTGCTGCTCACTCGTGACCCCGTGTGTGTGCAGAATATTACTGTGTTTCACAGGGTGTTTTCAGTCGTACATCAGCGGGCTTTATTCTGGGGTGCCTCTGGGAGGATGCCACCGCCCAACTTTGTGGCTGGCATTCAAAGGTGTTAACCCAGGTGATAGCACCCAGGGCCTCCCGCTTGTGCATTATGATGGCCATCTGCTCCTCCTTCCAGTCAATGTTTTGCCATTTTTGCTTGCTTTACTACCTAGACTCTTGTTGGCATGCAGCAATGGCGTCCTCACGTGTGCAGAGACCTGCGCCCCAGTGTTTCCCAAGCTGGGTTCTTTCAGAAGCAACCACCGGCCTCTCTTCCAAGGTCCTTCTAGGTGAATCTGTGCTCCAAGGGGGTCATGTGGAGCCAAGCGACAGGAAGACCAAAAAAATGCTCCCAATGAAAAACTGACTGTGCACCAGGAATCCTGACCTCAGCTGAGTCTGCACCTGTATCTGTTTGGGGCCCTCTCCTCTCAATAGGTCTTCACTTGAGAAAAATAGGATCCGATGGGGAATACGATGCTACCTTTTGTTTTGAAAAGCAGGAACATAGACCAATCTGTATTTGCATGTGCTCTTGTGTGCATGAATGTTGGAAGAAAGCATTCAAAAGTAACTGTGAACAGTTGACGCTGAGCGAAGGGTTAACTGGGCTCCTTCATTCCATTTTCCCAGGAAATCTTTGAAACCCCCTAATGTATTTTCATTTTTTGAAACCATGCCAGTATATTGCCTAATCAAAAAGAAAATTAAACAAATAAATATTCAATGCATTAGTGTCACTGATGAAATTGGAAGTCCTCCCTGGCCAGCTCTCATGTTCCAGGTATTTTACACACACACACACACACACACACACACACACACACACACACTATGGATTTCCAGGCACAAAGTACTAGGAATTTAAAAGTAGAAAGTGAAATTATAAAGTATATTATGGAACATATAGTTAATAATTTTTTCCATTAAGTTGTAAAGTGGAAGAACGCTGAGAGTATTTGTGTTTTGAAAATGTTGGAAAGTACTCGTTGGTAGTCTGTCATTTTCCTTGACAGTGCGATCTCTCCCTTGGCCTCTCTCACTCTCACACACACCCTCCTCCAGTAAATCTTGCTTTTACTGTCCATTAGTCAGGTGGACACAAATGGGAAATGAGCACTAGCTAGCTCTGCTATAATTTTGGTCCTCTGATGGCCAGTGACAATTTGTAACTTGTGACGTCAACCACTAACACACAGGACTGAAAGTCAACGCTCAGCACTGTCGGGAGTCTTTATGCTCAGGACTGTTGGGCACTGCCATGGGGATCTAGGCAGCAAGCAAACCCACTGCTATCGGGTCAATTCCAACTCATGGCTCTGCAAGTCTATGGCCTCTGGAATCCATTGCATGGGTCTATGAAACGGCAGCTCTTTTGCCGGTAGTGGAAAGCCCCTGGAGAGGCTAGTGGTCTTGAACTGCTGGCCTTGAGGTTAGCAGCTTGATGGAAAAGAAAATCATTTATAAGGGTCTTTATAAAAACACAAACCCTTCAGGTGCTACTGAGACTTTCACCAAAGCCTTTCTTGGACCCCATGCTCTGAACTACTAAGGTTTTTGAAATATTCGATGTGTCCTTACCCTTTATTAAGAAAATAAAAATTTTTTTTCCTGATAGGGGAAGGGGGCCTGCCAACTGGTTAGAAGCCAAAGAGTTCTCCAGTACACCCTGAATGTAAAAAAACCTAGCAGTTGTGTATTTCATAGTTCAAGTTCAAAAGAAAAAGACAATTTAAGTAATAAAAGGGAAACGGGGGAAATGCAAAGAAAGAAAACAAAATCAGTCCAGAGTCCAGCAAAACTTTCAACAATATTTAATTCGGAAAATGTTATTGGTTTAGAAAACTTGACTGAAAGAAAACAGCTGGGCAGAGTTCAAGATTCTAAATTAAAAACAATCTAACAAGGTCTATGGGGATAGCTCTTTGAGCCACAGATTCATTCCTACCAAGTAAAAGTAATAGCCCTCTAAGCTAGAAAGGAAATTCCTCACAACTGAGGTAGTTACTAAATATCAGCACATTTTCCAAGTGCTCTCAAGGCAGCTTCTAACCAAACCAAACTCAGTGCCTTCGAGTCGATGCGGACTCCTTGCGAGCCTATCGGACAGGGCAGAACTGCCCCTGTGCGTTTCTGAGACTGCAACTCTTTATGGGAGTAGAAAGCCCTCCCTCCCTCCCTCCCTCCGAGAGGCTGGTGGGTTCCAACTGCTGACCGGGAGGGTGGCAGGCCGGGCTCGTCATCACTCCGGCACCAGGGCTCCTTACAAGGCGGCTTAGCGCGATGTGCGATTCATTTCTTCCTTGTATCTAATAGGTTGTGGGCCTTTGTAATTTTGTTTTCTGTCATTTGTTTACAAATAAAGCAAAAACAAAAACCACTCATACACACCAGCCAGAATATGCCTATTTTATTAACATCATGCTTTAATAAATAACTGGCTACTTCTAATAAAATTAAGCCTCTGTTTACAATAGCCCCCAATATTCCATTTTGACCATTCTGCAGAATTTGGTGTAAAAAGGTGAATGAAATGTAGACCCTGAGCTATCAAGTAATTATGTTTCGATATAAAAATAGAGGATTACTCTCACAACTGAAGGTTGAACAATGAACAGAACCAAAATGGAAAAAAAAATTTAAAGAAAAGAACAGCACAAGAAACTCTTCCATGAATTTTTGTGTTTGTCCCCCCACCCCACCTCCACCTTTCGATAGAATTGATTGTGATTGTGATGGCTGTCTAAGGCAGGAAGAGACTCACAGAAAAGGTTTGTCTTTTTTTTTTTTTTTGAGGACTTTTGGTAACTCCTTTTAATGTGACCTATTACAGCCCCATAGCTTTATGAGTTATTATTTGGTAAGGACATATGGAAAGGGTCCCTAAAGGGCCAAGGACAACAGATAAGGCCTTTTTGCCAGTTTACCCGTGTGGCTAAGGGTCAACGCTAAGATGTGGTCTTCTCAGTTCTACCTATTCCCATCTGCCCCCCCCCCAAAAAAACATAACAAAACAGAACAGCAACAAGAACATGTGCAAAAATCGGGGCACCCAGTTCTCTCCAACATGGGCTCCTTGGCTAATAAGGTAGCAAGACTGCAGAGCCTTTCTGATTGGCGGGTAGAGTGGGAGGGCGCCAGGGCAGGATAACGTAAAGACTGACCTAAGACACTTGAGAATTTCTTAACGACACTTGGGAAATTCTTAACAACAAGTGGAATCCCAAAGCAAATGTAGGGAGACCTACACATTGCTCGTGAGTGTTGATTGGCAGCTCCCTAAGCCCCGACTGTAGTCCAATTCTGGCTAGCCCCTGTCTGTGGCTGGGTTTGAAATTGGGACCACAGTCATTAAGGGGACTGTTGGTCACTCATGCTACAGGGATAGCAAATGCCAAGAGGATGAGTGGGGCTTGCCTGGTTAAAAGGGAAGAAAGCAAAAACCAGCCCCAAACTAAGTGTGACCGTGTGAATAACTGGGACGTCCTGAATGCCTAAGATCTTTGGAGAGCACAAGTATCAGGGATCTTCATCAATGGGCTACACTTAAGGATAGGCGAGTTGAAGAAATGGACATGTCTGGGATGTTAGCTTATGTAATTCAACTCAACCAAATGGGTAGTCTGCAGTCTCTACCCATAACTGGCTCGAAACAAAGCATAACTTCTGTCTAGTATTCACGCTTGAAGCCAATCTGGCGAGTGACTCGGAAGTCACATTTGCCTTCACATTCTGTCCTAACAATAAAAAAAAATTTTTTTTTCTAATCACCCCACTTCTCTCCAGATAAGGCAACTAAAATAACAGGGATAAATGGAAATTTTACTGCTTGTTGGGTTTTTCCTTTTAATAAAGATAACGTGATAAATAAAACCTGCTTCTGTACAGCTATTTAATAGTTCAGAAATACGTACATGTTACATGCCAAGAAAGGGACCCTGGTTTTCTTGTAAGAAACAAGGTGAGTTCATAATTAAAAAACAAAAAACAAAAAAAAAGAAACAAAAAAACAAAACAAAAAAGAAACCCACACAAAAACCCAACAATAAACAAACTATCGCGTGATAAAATCACAAATGCACAACTAACTACAGTTCTGTACCTACGCTGTTAGCCACGTTGAGCATGATTCTGGGAGAGCAGGGACCCACTGCCAAGTCCCCTGGACATCCCCAGAACAGAATGAAAAAGAAAATCAGCATTTTTTTAAACCAGTGGCCACATAGTATAAACTGTACATCGTTGTCCATTCATTTAAAAAGCCAAGTCAGGAGGATGGTAGAAAAGTGATAACCGGTGCCTATCAACTCTTTCTGACAATGACCACATTGCCTCCTCCCCAGCTAGGAATTATCTCCACTCTCTGGGCAGCAGCAGGACCAGGAGGCAGAAGGCAGGGAGGAGGTACGGCTGGGCCCTCGGACGAGCCCCAGCATCAGCCACTGCTGTCTTCTCATTGGCGCTCTTTCCGGCATGGTCAGTTACATTGTACTCGAACTCGGACTGGCAATGCTGGTACTCGCAGCCACTGCCACTTCCTTCCCCGCTACTGTCGTCACCTGGGATAAAGACACACAAAGGGAGGTGAGATTGCGGTCGGCTTGTGTGCCTCACAAGGCAAAGTAGAACGACGCTGTCCTTTCGAACCACATGTGCTTACTGATGTCAATGAAGTCCACATCGTTCCCATTGTAGGCGTTCTTCATTTTGCTGGTCATTACGCGCAGAGCCATGATTTGCCGGAGGATCAGTATGTCTGGTTTGCTGGTGTCCACCTGGACCTCCGGATTATTGCCCTGGTTGGCTAATCCATTGCCCGTGACTGCAAACAGGTACCTGCCATGAAAGGGGGACCCCATGAGATGCCTGCCTCCGTGCTATTCTTGTCCACTGGGCACCATTAACTGGGAGGTCTGCGATTTCTAGAGAATTGCTTGGACAGTTTGCATTTTGCTGGTGGAGAGGCCTTATTTCTCCAGTTCCCTGGTGGAAAGCCGCTCTCATTTGCCAGAGCAGCACTCACTTAAATGACTAGGTAGGCAATGGCACAGGGCTCCTTAGACGAAGATAGGACCACTGGAGAAACGGGGCTGCAGAAGGCAGCGCCATTGGACCAGGCCCCCTCCCCACCCCACCCCAACTAAACAAACTTATGGCCATGAAGGAGAGGCCGACTCATGGAGATCCTGCCCCTGTGGGTTTCCGAGACTTGAACTCTTTACAGGAGTATAAAGTCTCACCTTTTTCCCCAGGAGGAGCCTTGGTGGCGCATCAGGTATGCACTGAGTTGCTAATGGCAAGGTCAACAGTTTGAAAGCACCAGTGGCTTCGTGGGAGAAAGACAGGCTTTCTACTCCCAGAAAGAGTTACCCTCTCCGGAAACGCACAGGGCCCGTTCTACCCTGTGCTATAGGGTGGACGGTGAGTCGGCATTGACTCCATGTCAGTGAGCTTAGTTTGTTGCCTTGGAGCAAACCTCAGGCAACAGAGTTAGAACTGTCCACCGAGGGCTTTCTGGGCAGTGTGTCTTTCCAGGAGCTGGTGGGGAGGTAGGAAGCGCCAGCCATTCCTTGAGCAGCCCTGTAAGTCTAAGGTTAAGTCCCACCCGGAACCATTTTGCCGCCAGAGCTTCTCCGTGTCCTTACTACCTATGAGGCATGGCCCCAGGAGGCCTCAGAGGACACCGGAGAGGAACGTGCCTGAGAGTCCCCAGGCACGCTGCCCGGGAGCCGCTGCGCGCAGGCTGACCTGCTTTTGCCTTTCCCGTTCCAGCAGTCATCCTCATTGCCGTTGCCCGCCGCCATCCTCTCGTCGTTGCAGACATTGCTGGGAAGAGCGGACCAGAACTTCTTGGCCTGTTTTAGTTTCTCCTTGACATCGGTCACCTAGGGAAAAACACGGCCCCACACAAGAAAAACATGAGCCCTCCATGAAAACAGCACCTAACCGCCTACAGATGGGCCTTTTCCTCTGTTCTAAAATATGTCCAGGCTAATATGCCGCCAGCCATTTTGCACCTTGGCCAGAAGCAAACGTACAGATCTGTAGTCCCCTGAGAAGGACCTCCGTTCTTGAAATGCAAGCTAGGCGTGAACTGCGAAGACTCGATGTCCACCGTCTTTCCTCTGAAGGACAACCGAGCAGAAACAGCCATCAGACACCGTCTCTTCTCAAGGTCTTCTCGTCTCTTCTTTTATAGCCAGGGTCAAGTTTATACACAAGGCTTTTATAGTCAGGGTCAAGTTTATATGAAGATGGGGCTTCAAAATGTTTGTGGGGAAAGACAACAGACTGCACCAACTTTCTGAAGGCCTCTTATACAGGAGTCCTGGGGACCCCCAAGCTAAGGGGTGGCTGGCAATGGAAAAGCTGGTGATTTGAACCCGCCAGCAGCTTCATGGGAGAAAACGGTGCGACAATCTTTAGCTGTAAGATGACAGCCTGCATCCAATTCCCCATCAAAAATTTAAGCCAAAAAGTCCTGACAGCCTAGGAAACCCCATGGGGTTCTCCTCTGAAATACACAGCTTACCAGGAGCTGGACGAGACTGAGAAGCACAAGGCCTACAGCTGTGTGACAACCACCGATCACTGCTCTCCCTCGTCTGCTCCTGGCTCTTCAAGCTCGTCGTCTGTGACCCATTGTGTTGTTTGTACACCGAGCTGCCCGTGATGGTGAGAGGCAAGCTACTCCAGAGTGGATTTAGTGCCTGTCGCTTTTACAGAAGATTGTCAGTCATTCTCCAGGGGTGTCACCGAGTGGATGTGAACCCTCACCCCTTCAGTCTGCAGTGGAGTGCAGACTGCTTGTGCCCGTGGCACCTCTTACTTCTCTGTTAACATTCGCTTACGTTTTTGTGGCCTTCTAGTGGCTTGGGGAGTTACTCGTTGGGCTGTGAACTGAAAGGTCAAAATTTCGAGACCACCAGCTTCTCGGAGGGAGAAAGACGGGACTTCCTCCTCGCATAAAGAGTTACAGTCTTGGAAACCCACAGGGGCAGTTCCACTCTGTCCTGTAGGGTCGCTATGAGTCGGAATCAAGCCAATGGCAACAAGTGTTTGTGGTCTGGGGACATTTCTGTAGTCTGGTAGAGTCTCTAAGGCAATGTGCCTCTATTTTCTTCCTTGTCTCTTCTTCTGATTGTTTACTTCCTTATATAAATACGCGAAGGACACCTCTTGCTTCCTGTGTCACGGTCTCCTGAGAAGATGGACCTACATATTCATTCATAGCTTCCAGGCCTGGTGACAGGCACATAGTAGAAGCTCTGGAAACGATGTGGGAATGAAAAAGATGTTTTCAGGTAACTAACTCTTGCTGCCCCACTGTTCCCAGACTCTGGTGGGACTTCCTGAGCTAGCAAATGAGAAACAGACATTCTTCACGCAAAAAAAAGTTTCCCCAGACATATTTCTAAATGCATAAGGTGGCCAAACGCAGGATTCAGGGCACACAGACAGTTTCCGGTTCTCTTTCACTCATGCCAGCCAATGCCTGCCAAAGCGCTTACCAGTCTGTCCAAGCTTGTGCCAGCCGCTGTGGTTGGGCGTTCCTCGGGGTGGTAAGGTCGGAAACGAGCGCTGAAGGAACTTTCTGAGATGGACCGGGAAATCCGGCCTGCGGGGAGGGGTTTAGGGGGCCCACAGCCCTGGAAAACCTGCATGGGAACAAGCATTGTCTTGTTAGAAGATCCAGGCCCACACTGGCAGGGCCTCCGGCTCTCCTGCCCCACCAGCCGTCCTTTTACCTTCTGAGACACCTGCACACTGTTCTCCTGCATGTTCATGATGGCATCTGAAATCTTCACATCAATGGGATCCATGACGGATTCGATGTTGAAAGGACCCTCTAACCTCTCAGCCACCATCAGCATCGCATCTGCCGTTGAGGTTTGGAGGAGAATAAGGCATTAGAAGCAATTCGTTAGCTGATTGCCCTCGGGTAATCAGTCTGCTTATTTGAATGGCTTTGGCTCCCAGGTGGGGAGTGGAAGGCAGGTATTCTAATGAATTCATGATTTTTTGTTATTTCAGATTTTTTTCTTTTTAAAAATAACCTTATTGGCATATACTTCATGAACCATACTGACTTAGTCACTCAATCATATTAAGAGGATTTGTGCAATCATCACCACAATCAAGTTCAGAGCATCTTCTTCTTTCTCAGACTCATTGTTGTTAGCTTCCCACCCCCCCACTCCCCCACCGCCCAACCTCCCCTGTCAAGCCCCTGGACAACTATCACTTCAGTTACTGTCCCTATAGCGCTACCTCTCCTGATTTCATATACAGAAGATCGTACAAAAACACAGATAGGGACCAAAACAAACCAAAACCCAACAAGGATGATTAGACAAAGCACAGAAAATCCTCAATTGAAAAGAAAGCAGAACATATTAAAAGCTAAAACAACTTTCAAGTGGACTCAAAAGGAAGACCGGATGCTAAGGTATTGCATTTTGACCTAACTACATCTACCGTGATCTACTTGACAATGCACTCTGCCTGATAACAGGGCTATTCATATCCCTCAACTGTATACCGAGGGAATTCACTGGAGGCTTAATCCACGTGTGGACCCCGCAAGTGGATTTGGGGATTCCCCTGTCATCTGCAGCCTTCTGCAAAACCGGGTGTTCACAATTTAAGCTCTGTTACCATTCCCTCCTTTGGACTTGGATTTTACTATGTACAATCCTTGGCTCACAGAGGCTAGTGTATGAACTCATGATTTTACATCATCTATTTTCATAACACCATAATTGCATTTGGTCCTGACGGAACTCTCTCTAAAATATGAACTGGCCAGATGAGTGCTTGGTCTGTGGCAAGGAGCCCCAGACAGGACCCTTCCACGGTCCCTGCCCCTACCACACCTCAAACACCCTCCTAACGGATGAACCTAAGGCCCGAGACCAAGCAACACTCCAGTTGTCTCCAGAACATTCCTGGGAAGCCTTTTGCTTCACGTCTCTCTGGGATCCTTGTGGGGCACAGGCGAAACACACATATGAAGGCGTTCTTCAGAACCCTTAATGCCTTTTCCAAGGATGAAAGTTGGAACACTGTCATTTTCCTATAAAGTAAACATGCCATTTCACAGCGAAAGGCCCCAGGCTATTTGTCTGTAGGTAAACACACACACACACACACACACACACACACACACACACACTTTTTTTGGAAATTGGAATAATTTATTATCCTAACAAAAGCACAAAGTATGGAGAAATTAGTGCGTGTGAATCGTTTCAGAGTAGAGAACGTTCCACATGAGCAGATTTCCGTTTGAGCACCTTCGAGGAGAGCGAGTTAAGACACGTTTCCACACGGCTTCTGGCAGCCTCGGGCGTCAGTGTGGTGGTGCAGCCCTTTGGTTGGTGTTCTCTACATGTGGAGAGTGCCACAAAAGCCAGACAGACAAAAGAAACAAATGAGACGAGAGGTGGTGGCTGACCCGTGGCTGGTGGCCGAGGAGCAGAGATGCTGAGAGGAGGGCCAGTGGGCAGGCACTAGATGGACAGGCCAAAGGTGCTGACGATGCAGTACATGGTCTTGTTCTCCCAGCGCACCGTGCAGCTCCCGTCGGTGGAGCTGTCCCAGAAGCAAGAGCTCGCCGTGTGCAGCCCGGCTCCGTTCTTCTGCATGATGACACAGGTCGATGGACTTACAGCTTGGTGAGCTGGCTCAGCGTCTGCTCCACGGACGTTCGTGGTCCACTGGTTCACCTTGCTGTGCTGGTAGGCGTTCCCACCGATCACACTCTCGATGGCCTCTTTGACGATGTTACTCACTTCATCGACCCGGTTCTCCTCCGCAGCCTGGTAATCCTCCATCTTCCCTCCCGCGCACACACTCTTTATCCCACTTCTACTTTGAGGGAACAGATGTCCCAAGGGGCAGCACAATGCACCCCTGCGGTCTGTCTTCACTAACTCCGAGGCAAGTCACTTTGCCATTGTGTGGCGAGGTGCACTGGTGCCATCGTGGTGATGCATTAGGCTGCTACCTGGCAGATCAGCAGTTCAGTTCTAAGCCACCAATGGCTCCACGGGAGAAAGACAAGGTTCTATAGTCCCACCAAGAGTTACAATCTTGGAAACCCACAGAGGCAATTCTACCCCGTCCGATGGCGTCACTGTAGTTTGACGGGACTTGATGGCAGTGCGTTTGGTTGTTACCATTCTGTTGATCCCTCCGGGGTGGTGGGGCTTCAGACGCTCGCTGTCATTGCCGCGAGAGCTGTTGTGCAAAGTTGCGAGTTCCTTGGCCACACAATCCCATGAAGGAGCTTCACGTTTGTGGACAAACAGAGTGAAAAGAATGATGGGACTTTTCCCATAACCAGTTTGAAAAGCCCTCACTCGGGGCCAAGAAAAGGCAGAACTGGGTGGGTCCACAGGATGAATCACTTTCAGGAAGTCCCAGTCAGCCACCAGAGAAGGGCACTTTTCCTGAAGAACTCCTCGGGGGCAGACGTGACCCCGTAGCTGAACTTTCTCTCTAGTGGGCAGCCAGTCATTTCTGCACCTGCATACCAATGAATCCCAAATCGGTCGGCCAGCAACCTTTCACAGGTGCAGCCCAATCTCTTCCAGCCAGGGGACATTTCACTCAAGCGCAATCCTGGTGTTCCCCAATCACCACTAGATTTGCATGGAATATAATTTTTTTCCCCGGGGCAGCGAAGAGTAATACTCCATGGCGTTTCAGATTGCCTTGTGGTCCATGCCAATAAGGTTGCCGTTTTGAACCTCTGAGGCCAGGGCAGCCAGTGTGAATCTACCACTGGGCTGTCAGGGGAAGGGAGCGGATGCTTCTAATGTGCTCACCCCACTCTGCCATGTTCCTGTTTGCCCGCCAGGGTGGGGGTGCTGCCACAGCCCAACAGCGCCTTCCTTCAGCGCTGCGGAGCCGTCGCTGAAGCCACCTAAAATTATTATGAATAGATCAATAATTACCCATCCAAAAGGCAGAGGGTGAGACACGAAAAATAACATAAAAAAATCAGCTCGCACGCCTCGTAGCTCCTTGTCTCCCGAGTGGTGAAGAAAGGCCAGGTCACTCCTGTGTTTGTGAAAGGCTGAAAGGAGACATCAACCCATTCTTCTGGCTCTTGGGCGGCTTTGCAAAGTCGGAGACGGCCGGCCATACATACACAAGGGCCTGGGAATGGAGAGCGCAGCCAGCCGGCCCTTTGCATGTTGCACAGCTCAGGAATGTGGGGGTGGGGGGGTTGCCTTCTGCCTGCAGCCCCCCTCCCCCAGCCCACGCTTCCTCTAAGCACCCCTGGGGAAAGTCACGATTAGCTATCAGTCAGGCTCTTCCGTGGCAGCAGCAGCCCCTGATAAGAAGCATCAGGAGAAACAGGGCTCTTCAGCTGCAGACTGTCCGAGCGGCTCCTGGCTAGAGGCAGACTACGGCTCACACTGCCAGGACGGGTGCTGGACAAGTTGCACCTAAGCTTGTGATTCATAGTGGTGGTGAAGTTTCCAGAAGCGCGCGCGCACACGTGTGTGTGTGTGTGTGTGTGTGTGTGTGTGTGTGTGTAGTGAGAGCATTTGGAGTGGTTTCCTTTTCTAAACTTCTCTTGGTTTCATAAAAGCGCGTTCTTAGAAAATGTAGCACAAGCTGTGTCCCCCACTAGGCCCCATTCCTCGTAGAGGTTGCTAAGATTTCCAGTGACCGAAGAAGGGAGACTGTTCAGACTCAGCGCAGCAGATGGAAGCGAGGGGATGGTGACCAGAAGGCAGATTGGAAAAACCCATCATCCCTGGTTACCTTAAAGGGTCTAGCCTGACGGTAGCCCTTCAGTACACTGAGTTGCACCCACTGCAGCCACAAAGCCTCCCCTATTCTCCCACCTGATTACAAGAAAAAAAAAGCAGTTTCTTCACTTAACCCCCAGATAGGATTTAAACAACGGGGAGAGGGTGGCGCTTGACCAATCATTAACTGTAGTCATTTAAAGGGGAGAGAAAAATTCCTTGCACACGGGGAGGGACAGACCAACAAGGGGGAAAACAAAGAACTTACAGCAGCGACTTGTAAATCAAGAAGAAATTCTAACACCCCGCCCCAACAGATTATAAAGCCTTGTGAGCCATGCATTCAAATACCTGAAGATCAGTAATGTTGATTACCTCTGCTCTTCTATATCAGCTTATTGGAACTAGAGCCATACAGAGCCCGGGTGTGTAAAACAAAATGTGGCTAGGGTTATCCATCTTTCTCCGCCCCCCCCCCC